AAAGAAAGATAGAAACGAGTCGAAATGTATTAACCATTTAATTTTTTTTGTATCTTTGATCCTCCCAATGGAGGATAGTTAAAGAACCGCACGCTTCATTGTGCTTTAGACCGTTTCTACGGTGGTTCTTGGTTGGAGCAAACAGGCTTTGGGTCACCAAGCCTATTTGGTACACGTGTCCTAACACGTTGAATCTCTACGATCCTCCCTCCGTTTGGGACGAAGTAGAGACCGAACCCGTGACAAAAGGTCGGCACGCTTCAGCACGTGACTGCCAATGGAACGACTTCGGGGCACTAGAAAGTGGCAGCCAACAAGGAAGACAAGGAAATATAGGTATTCTCACTTCACTGTATTTTTTGTTTTTTTTTTATTTTCTTTTTCCTGTATTTCTTCATTAGATTAATTTGTTAGAATAAAAACAGATTTGAATTTTTTTAATTTGGATAAGTTGGTATACCTGTGGTATTGTAAGATAGTCATCAAAGAGGTTAGGAAATTTTGTTGATATTAAATGATATATGAAATTAAAATTACAAATTAAAATTTTGTATTCTTAGATACTATTTAGATTATAATTTAATTATAAGCATAATATAATAGATTAATACATAGTATAATAATAATACATAGTATAATAAATCTATGGATAATATACAAATTTTTTTCTTTTTTTATTATTATAATATTATTTTACTTTTTATTAATATTTTTTCTATTATTTCTTTTCTTTTATCATCTCATATTTTTCTAATCTCTTCTTTTATCTTTTCTAGTCATTTTTCTTCTTTCTCTTCGCAATTGTCCTCGTATATTTCTGAGTTCTCTTTGTTCAAAGCTTCTTTTCTCTTTCCACCCTGCTCTCTTTTCAACATCAGACCGTCGATAGGCCGCAATTCAGTGTCGCGTCGTTGCACACAGTTTGTGGCAGTGGACGTCAATTGCATTGCTCCGCATATTTCATTCTAGGCTGGTTCGGCGACTTGTCACCATTTCAAAAGATTTTAATAATTTTCAAAAGAAAAACTATTAAGTGTATCTTGGGAATTGATTAAAAAAATGTATGCAAATCAGTTACATTATGAAAATAATTGATATTTTTTTTTATAATAAAAATCAAAATTAAATATAATTTTTTATTTTACATGGAATTAATTTTGAATAATGCTAATAAAATATACAAAAGAACTAAAAAATTATTCAAAAAAATTATAGACTTAAGAAACATAATATTGGAGAAAAGATTCAATTTTTTAAATATTAATATTCTTTTGCTTCTTTATATGAAAATCATGCATGAATTAATATTAAATATAAACACTTCATTTCGTCGAGTCATATTTAACGTTGAACTTTTCATCAAAAGTTTTATTCTATTTTATTTTAAAAATATCTTTTATTTTGAATAGATATAAAAATTAAAATATGTTTCTTATAGACGCAAATTTGTTTTTAAATTTCGGATTTTTCATTATCAAAATATAATAATCAAAATAATGTTTAATAATTATTAATTATAATAATATCTAATTATTAATCTAATTATTAATAATATCTAAATATAAATGAAAAATAAAAATATAAATTAATCAGTAATTAAATATTAAAATTTTATTTATAAATCTTGTAATTATAAATTTATATTAAATTTTATATTATTAAATTTAATATTATTAAATTTACATTCATAGATGCATTCAAAATTATTACAAAAGGATCTATTTAAACAAAGATCTCTAAGAACGAGAGAACCATGAAAAATCTCGAGTTTACTTTTCCCAAACCGCAATTTAAACATATTCGTGGTTCAAATGGTGCTACTATCACTGAAAACAGCTTCCATCTAAGCGTATTTGACCAATAAATAATTTGGCAAACAAATTGATCCCCAGGGACTATAAACAGATACTTAGAGGCACGCGTTTCACTCTCCACTTCTGTCAGAAAATAAATTGACCATATGTTTATTAAATTAACATATATACTGATTGGACAATAAATATTCGATAGAGTATGAGACCCCTACTGTGAGAATCGAAATAGGGCCCGCAGTGTGAAATCTCTATTATCGAAGGGTTGGTATGGTATCCCGTTGTTCCAGCAGTTGTATACATATATATATGTATCTTGATAGAACTGGTGCTGACAGAGATCTTTCGATCCTTAGAAATAATGTAATCGCTAATTAAATGTTTGGATATCTATGGTCGTTTGATATTTTTTGTATCTGGAAAGAAAAAAAAGAAAAACGTAAGTATTTACTTATATATTTGTATGTAGCTACATACATGTACATAGCTTTATATACAGGTTAATTGGATGATTAATTATTTAAAAATATAAATGAGAAATGAAGAAGATAAAATAGAAGTGCTTCATTGTATTAAAAAATGATAAGAATTCTAATGATATAAATTCAGTAAAGTAATTATAAAAAAAAAGTCTAATAATCATCAAAGTTTTTTAAACTTTAAAAATTAAAAATTAGATAATAATAACAATTTAGATAAATAATAAATAATAATTTATCAGAATTTTATTTAATTAAAAAATCGATTCTTATAATTTGTAGATGGATTAAAGTAAAATTGAAAGAAATAAAAATATTCAAGAATTCGATTTCGAAAGTTTTTCTCTCCCCGTCTATGAGACAAATTGAGATAAATAATTGTTTGTGGCGATACAATACTCTCTTGAAATTTGTTATGGTGATACTCGAAACGGCACGCTCCTGAACATTTGCGAATTGATACTCGTAAAACTAACACTTGAATCGCATCTGGTGTGTATTCTCTGCTCAGAAATGATATTTGAAGATTTTATCAATATCAACCAATGACAAACGTTATAGTTTCTACTTCAGAATTTTTTTCTGTTCTAATATTTTAATCAATAACTTAACCTCAATATTATCATGACTATTTTTAATAATTTTTATATTTTTATTTTTTATTTTTTTCAATAATTTTTTTTATTTTTTTCATTAGTTATTATCAAGTTAGTTTTTTAAATATTCTATAATAAAAAAGTTTAATATAAAAAATGTTATATTTAAAAATTTATAATTATAAAATAAAAACTTACAACTTTAATAACTTTATAAAAATCAAATTTCTTCACTAATATTAATTCTTTATTATATTAATCCTATCTTCACTAACATTATTAACTACTGTTATTAAAGTTTAGCTAGAGTTAAATTTCAATCATTAGATAATATCGAAATATGAAAAGGATTTCTGATTCTTCCATTCGAAATGATTGTTCTCATATATTCTACGGCTAATCCTAATTATGTTGGCAGATCTGTATAGTAGATATATTGACGATTGACAATAATAATTCGCTTTGAGATTGTTAGTGAGCAGTTACACGTTTTTCAATCTAGATGTCGACAAAACTTTGCCAGTTAACTAGGTAGAACCCTAGCAAACTAGTATTGTGATCGTATTAACACCTTGCATAATTGCATCACCACCAACGCCGCCGCGTTTCTCATTGTGCGTCCGTTAAACACGTCTCATTTGAATATTGGCCCATTCAGCACTCTGTCTGTCGCATAACCTCTCTTTCTCATTCTAGGATGCTTGATCGTTGATAAAGGGGAAGCTATGTATTCGTTGCTTTCTACAATATGCTATGTATTCTTTCTCAGGCTGTCAGTTTTCTTTGATCATGCTTCATTTAATATAAATAACATGAGTATAATGATTTAATAGTTATTAATATAAATAGTCATTAATATAAATAACATGAGTATAATGATATAATAGTTTTGTGATTAATAATCCAATAATTATATATTTTTTTTGTAGAATATAATAAAATTTATTTTAACCAAATAAAAACAATAATTTGGGAAAATATATTTATGATTTACATTAATATGATTTATATTAATGATGTAATAAATAAATAAGTATAAAATAAGTAAAAAATAACAATAATACTTACGTACTTTTTTGAATTAACATAAATAATATAATAATATTATATAATAATTAAATTTATTAAATAATTTAATTTATTGAATTATTGATTTATAGTTATTTTATATTAATTATATCTTTTATATATAATCTTTAAAGAATGAAATATATCAACAATTAAGAAAATAATTATTTTTATATTTTTAATATTTCAAAATTAACTTCTAATAATATTTTCCATTTTTAACTTCTTAAAAAAATTAATTTTAAATAAATTATTAAAAAGTCACAAAATTATTAAAAAATTCAATCAAATACACCAAGAAATTGACTAAAAATTAGAAATAATTTCTATTTCGAATAGATATGATGATGATTTATTTGTATTTAACATTTTAATTTCGTCATTATCATATAAAGATTTTCAATATGTTTTTAAACTCAAAATTTTAAATAATTATAAACATTTTTATTAGATAAAATATCTTCTTTAAACTTTAGCATTTTTTTCTTTTCGATGAAAAACGAGAATTAAATGTCAAAAATACATTTTTTATTAAATAAAAAAAACCAGCTTCCTTAAAGAAATTTTTCTCAAAGTATCTCATATCATAAAACTTTTATAAATAAAAATAATTTAAAAAAAATATTCATTAATTTATTTTATTTATGTATGCTATAAAAACTTGCCTATTCAAAAATAATTTCTCATCGAAATTTTTCAGATTATAAGAAGAGTTCCTCCGATGTCTTCGGTTGGTCCGGTTGGAATTTCCACAAAATTGTGAAAAGAGGAAGGATGCCGTTGAACAATTTTACCGAGGGTACCAAATTGTAGGAAGATGGAAAACGATAGAAATAAAATTTCAGACCGGGCAGTAACAATAATCCGCAGAACTCTGGGGGTTTGCACTTTGCTCGTTGAACGATCCACCAATGGCTGGATGGGTCGAAGATAGGTTTCACTCTGGAACGTTCAGGATTGGCTAGATTCTCCGCCCAGGGGTTGCATCGATCATCCCCTTACCGCTTCACCAATCTCCGATATATAAAGCAGCCTCCCCAGGGACACTGAGGATAGTCTGATTCCTTTGCTGCTCTTGTGTATCCTTGGTTCCCTTCATCCAACCGTTGTGAAGTGATCCTTGGGAGATTGGAAATTAATCTTATTATAATTAATTGAAAGGAAAAATTATCATTAAGAGGTAGATACTTATCTTTAGTAGTGAATTAAGATTATAATTGAGAGATAGACATTCGTTTTTAATAGTGAATTTTTTTTGACAAGAGATTATTGAAGAGAAGTTGGACAGTTGAAAAGTTGCAGGTTTGGTGTATTATAGTTAATGAAACAGATATTATGAGATTATAAAAAAGGCATTTATTTAACAAAATACAAATCAATATTAATTTTGCTAAATACTTGAATAATTCTAATTGCAAAAATAAAAAATTTGAAGTCAATTAAATTGACTGGTTTAATAATGTTAATATTTTAGATTTATATATCATAAATTTTTATCAAATTAAATTTTAATATAAAAAAATGTATCTTAAAAGTAGAAATAATTGAATGAAATAGAATGTTAAATTGAATGATAGAAAATAGAATGTCGATTAAAAGATGATAAAGATTAATAAGAGATAGAGAGATTAAATAATTGGGAATTTCAATTGAATTAGCTGCACTTAAGATCGTATGTAATCTGCAAATACTGAATTTCACTTTTCAAATATTATTTATAAATTTATATTTAAAATTTTTGATCTTTTAATTAACACAATACTATTAAATGAATATTTTTATTAAATCCATTAAATGTATATTTTTCTTCAAAATTATATCGAAGAAATATAGATTATAATATATAAAAATATTAAAAAAAGATTAAAATTTATTTAATTATTATCACTGTTAAATTTTATTTCATAATTTTCATGATTTTTTAATTTTTAGTTTTTATTCCACATTTAAATTGATAATATAAATTATATTTTAAAAATATGAGTTTGGCGTTATATGTAGTAAACGTATGTTAATTTGAATTGCAATTGAAGTTATTAATGAGCTGGTAAGAAGAAAGAATATCTATGGCGAACCATTCGAGTTACGAGTACGAAGATAGAGGACAGAGGATGCGACATCGTGTTGGTACTACTTCCAGAGCGGCCGATTCTACTGTGGCCTGCACTAGGTGAAACTTGTAAAGTTTTATATCTTTATAAATAAATTTTATTTATTTATTTATTTAATTTTTATTACTATTATATTTAATTTAATTTCTTTTAAAAGATTGACATTTAAATTTTTATTAATTATTTATTTTCTAAAATTCTATCTTTATGTTTATATATAAATTAATAGTGCATAATGGTTTAAGAAAATTATTGTTTATTTATTATTATATATATAAATTTTATTATTTATTACATAACAAAAATTAATAATTTTGAAGAAACATATTATATGCATATTTATATTTTGATTAATAAATAATTTATATAAATAAAAATAAAAGATTTTTTAATAAAATTACAGTAGTCAATATTATGTGGGTCCAAGCAGTGATATTAGTGAGGAAGATTTGGCAGAGTTGCCTTCTTGTGTTTATGCGGGTAGATCCACTCAACACGTTGCACACACCTCCTCACATACTCATTCTCCTCTTCATTATCATATGCCAGTTTCTACACCTGGTAATTCGATTAATAATTTGAATTAAAAATTTAAATTCAATATTTAAGTATTTTTTTAATGTTTAAAATATATATATATATTTATTTTTATATATAATAATTAGGATGAAATTGATAATAAAAAACAAAATATAATACTTATAAAATATAATATTTATAAATAAATTTTAATATTGGCAAATCTAATTTGTTACATTGTGTTTGTTTTAGATCATAACGATACAGAGATAAATGGTGTAGAAGAGGGGTACTATCCAAATGGTAGTCCCTACAGAATTCAACGACATGCTGCCAATATACGTGAGAGAAAACGTATGCTGAGGTGAGAAATTATTCTCAATAAAAATTCTAATTTTATAATTTTAAAACTTTAATTTTCTGACTTTAAAAATTAATAATCATAAATTAATAATTATTATTATAAAATATTAATAATATAAAAAATATTAATAATAACAGTAAGATATTAATAATAACAGTAAGATAAATAAGTATAAGTTTTTCATATAAGTAATAATTATAAATTTAAAAGTTATCGATATTTTTTTGTAATATAAAATTTATTAAAAAAGTTATATAAAAGTATGTAAAAGTTATATTAAATTCACTTATTTGAATTTTTTCTTTCAATCGAAAAATTATATCGAGTGTTTTAAAAATTATACGAAACAAGAAGAATCAGAGAATAAAGTGAATGAAGTGAAACAGATTGTCAGTGTGATTGCGATTTTTAGCAGCATCAACTCGGCTTTCGACGAGCTTCGAGTACATGTACCAACGTTTCCATACGAAAAGAGACTGTCCAAAATTGATACTTTGCGTCTGGCTATAGCATACATTGCACTACTTCGAGAAGTGTTAGCTGCTAGACTTGATCCATTAACTTATGTTGAAAGGTGCCTTAGAGGAGAAATAAATGGGGAACGTGCCGAATGGAATACCAGCGGTGAGAATTTATTTTGCAATTTTTTATTTATTTTATATTTAGTAAAAATTATACAAGTATGAAAATATTTGAAAAAGTAAGCTATAGTTTATTTGAAATGAAATAATATTATTTATCATTTATAATTCTATTTATAATTAAATATTTTTTTATTATAGATTTGACAGCACGTTTATCATGGATAAATTGGGAAAATCTAGGTGTGAATCCAAATCGACGATCAGTCTTAACTACACTTGCTCTAACGACAGACAATATGAACTAAAATGCAAAAAATCTTTTCTTCCCTTTTCTTTGTAAATAAGTCCCAGTTGAATAGAGTGCCAAAAGATGTTATACATAAATACATATGTATACATTTCAGTTCTAGTCTGGACGTGCAATATGAACAATGATATTATATTTCGTATTTCTATATATAAATAATTATATAATAAACGTACACGCGTGTACATGTAAAAGAATAGTTATTCTAGTTTTAGTATTTTATTTGGAATAAAATAAGCGCTTATAAGAAGCTATAATTTTGTGTTTTAATTTAAAATTTATTAAATTTCCTCTTTCTACTTTAGAATTAGTTATTCTACTTTAGAATTATTATATAAATTTCAATTAAATTAAATTTCAAAATAAATCACAGTTTTTTAATTCTTACATTATTATTGTAAATATTATTGTATATATGAAAGTTTAATAATCTAAATATATTTTATTTTAATAATTTTTATATTTTAATATTTAGAATATTCTACAATTATAAGTTAATAAAATTAAATAATTTTTATTTAATATTTTCGTTTCTTTTTATAATTTCTAAATAATTATGTATAATTCTATAATAAATATATTTTATAGAATGATTATTAAAATATATATTGGCATTAAGTTTATATATATTTTCTATAAAATTTAATTAATATCAAATAAAAATTCAATATTTCAATAAATATATATAACTAACAGCAAGGTTCACAGCGCACTCTCGATCAGCTAATCTAATTCCAAAATAATATCCTATTTCACAGTATTACTGAACACAAGATCTGATTACCAGATGACACTATTGTTCCCATTATTGGAAACAAAAGCATGTGACACGTGTCTTGAACAAGTTTATTGGTTAGATTTTCTTTAACCATATTCTAAATAAGAAGAAATTTGTTTAATTGACAAGTGTTTCCAAGAAATTTCAAGACTATTACTCAATATAATAGTACATTTACTAGAAGAAAATCTTATATATTTTGACATAACCCCGATGATTGATTTTCTTTTTGAAAAATATGTTTTACATATATATTTTTTGATTTCAATATTTATATATTATCAAGATTATTGAAAATATTGTTCAACAAGTCATATAAAGAAATTATGTGTTCTAACAAATATTCGGATAAGTTTTTTTTTTAAGAAACGAAATAGAAGATTCAAAGAAAATGGGATCAAAACAAAAAAATTTTAATGACAAGGATGACGATGATGTGAGCGTGATAGCTGTGATAGGAAAAGAAAACGATCGAACTTCACGACAGCAGCAAGATGAAGAACTGGATGAGAAACAAGAGGATGAACGAGTGTTCGAGTTGAGTGACGAACGATCCAAAATGGCACTTCGGAAGCAACTCGATCTGGGATCGTTATCGACCGAGCTAGGTAATGTAGCACAGAATTACTATGAGGGCATAGAAATTTTGCAAAAGCTGCCTCCAGGAACAATAGTTATTAAACAAGAAAAGAGATATAAGGATGATAGTGATTACGTGCGGGATTCAACGGAAATCAGTAGTGGCGGATCGACTTCAAGTAATGGAGTAACGAAAGTTAAGAGGATTTATCGATCTACGAGGAAAAAGTAGGTCTTTAACGCAATCAAATTAAGGATTTTATTTTTATTTACAAATTCTATTTAGTATTTAGCAAATAGAAAATGGAATACGATAATAATGTCATTTGTTTTAGATTTTTTATGGTCTTATAATGAATAGTTTAAATTTATCTTTCATAATATATAAAATTTATATATATAAAATTTATATATATAATATAAGAATTTGTACATTAAAAATATTTTTATTATATATATCGTATATAGGTAATTAATTACTCAAAATTTTTTGAAATATTAATTAATAAAAAAAAAATATATTCATTTTTTAAGATTTTGATTCAAATTATTCAAATTTTTTAAATAAATTTTCGAATTGTAATATTTTTAATATCAGAATATTTAAGATTTTAATATTTACAATATAAAATATTTTAATCATAATTTTTCTATTATTTTTTAAAAAATTAATTACAGTCGTGGAACCACGGAAGTCAGAAGAAATCCTATACGTGTTACAAAAAAAGAACCAGATAAAAATTTTTCTCGGCCAAGGCAACGATTACTTTCTGCAAAACGGAAGGAAATGCTCTTCAATTCTGAGCCTACTAAACGTGGAAAATCTTCTACGATGCCCTATATGAACACAAGATCTGTTACTCGTAAAATGTATAATGTAGGAGCAACTTATCAAGCACCCACTTTAAAAGATGAAACAGAATGGAAAGAATGGCCAGTTCATGGTATGCATGAACGACCAGTATTTCATCCACAGGTAAAAATCTAATTTATATAAAAAAATATATTAAATATAATTTATATATTAAATATAAAATTTATTTATAATTTTTATTTTTACATAAATATTAATTGAATATTGAATATTTCAGATTGGTCTAGCTGCAGAATATTTAGGACGTTATTTTACGAGTTTAGATGGTCTCTCTTATCGAGAAATAATCGATCGACCGGAAATAGAAGTGGTATCCGTAGATCCTCATTGTGATTATCTTTCTTCATCTACGGAAAAAAAAAGAGATAAAAAAACGAAATCTAATAAAAGTTGTCCCAATTCTAAGAATACAAAAAAACCTTCTATGGAATCGTCCGAAAAGAATAAATCTTTTGAAAGTTGCATGCATGAAAGTTTTCACTGCGTTCTAGGTTATTGTTCGCAAGTAATGACACCAACTTATAAAATGAATGTAGAAGGAAAGATAAACATGTTAAACGATAATAAAAATTTATCTAATATTTCTAAAGAAATCGATAAAGAATCGTCTAAGTCGAATATCGTTGATCGGAATTCTAAACGCGAATCCTCTATTAGTTTTAAGGAAAATTTACAAAAATCAATTGAAGAAAACAAATTCCTTGATAATTGCGGAATTACTATGTTCCCACAAAATGTTAAGAGCTTCACTCAAGTTCCAAAAACGCGTTTGTTTCCAACTCAGAAGGTTTATATAGCTAATTCCTCGAAATCCATTGCTTTTACCAATCTAAAAACACTTCAAGGAGGACATATGAAGATCCAGGAAGTAATACGATCTTCTAAAAGTCCTTTTATTCTAGTAAATCCTCCTGATTCAAAAGAAACACCACTTTTAAAACCATTTACAAGTAATATAAATGTGAATAAAGCAGAAGAATTTCCTGCTAGTGAAGAAACTTTAGGTGAAGTAACATCTATATATAAGAATGTATCTAATGAAGAGTTGAATGCAAAACAAACGCCTGTAAAACGAGGGAATAAAGTAGAATTTACAGTAACAAAATATCTTTTGAATAATATGCAACAGAATAAAGTTCAAGTGGGAAAAGAATCATCTTCGATCGAAAAAAAATTATGTTACGAGACAACATGCAGAGAAGTGAACGTTAAAACTATGTCTGGTGGCATAAGTAAAACTTGGTGTGCCGGTGAGACCTCAGAAATAGCGAAAATTCTTTCAGAATATAATAAAAGTAATTTAAAAAAGCCAGCCATAGAAAATCAAACTTTCTGTAATAACATGAAGAATATTAAGATTAAAGAACTCAGTAATAAAGAAGGAAATGTGAAACAAGATGTCCAAGAAAGTGTTATGGATAAAAATGTGAATATAACCTTTCCTCAGGGAAAATGGCGGCGATTTCATTTAACTGTGGAGAAATTGAAAGATTTAAAAAGTAATTCTAATGAGAAAAAACATTCTTTGGGAGTTTTAAACGGACAATCATTATTTAAAATGGACCAAACAACCGGAGAAATTTCATCTGATAGAAAAATTGAAATTCCAAAGCAATTAGATATGGTCCAAATAAGTCAACCATCTATAATGAATTCCGAAAAGAAAGAAAATATTTCGACAGTTAATACTAGCGTAGATACAACAACAATGAAAACACAATCTTTACAAGAATTATTAGAAGATACGGCCATGTTATATTGCGCCGCCACTGGAACTCATCAAGATGATTTGGCTAATTATATTGATAACTTAGATGCTGCACAGAGTATACAATGGTTGGAAACTTGTAATGATTTAATTGCATGAATTATTATGTCATATAGAACAATTAGTTACAAGATTAATTTTTTTTAATTTTATGATAATGAATATTGCAATTATCTTTCGAGAAATTAATTAATTTTATTTTTTTTGTAATTGTTAAACAAATATTTTAATTAGGATATGATGAGAATGAATTTGAGAAGAAAATATGCTTTCATTCTTTTATTAATCAAGCAAAACTTAAGATAGTAGAAATATTTCTCAATCATTCTCATTTACATGGTTTAGATATTACATTATATATAAAGTAACTTTAATTAATGGTTAATCATATAAAATGGAATTATATTAAAATAATCTTAATTTCTAACTCATAAATTACAATTTTAAGTTAAACTACTCTAGTGCTGAGTTTTCAAATAGTATAATTTTTTATTGTTCTTAATTCTTTGCACTTCAATTTTGACTTTAAAATACATTTAGCATTTTATATTGGCATCTATTTTAATTAAATTCAATTAATAATTAATTATATTTATAAAAAGAATTCAAATTTTTTAATTTTTGTTGTATAAAATAATTAAAGTGCAAAGAAATTAATTAGTATAGATTATTTTCTTTAGTCTTGTTATTAATATAATGCCATTGTTGATCCCAGCATGTATAAAAAGCATGCAAATAATGAGGATCGCAAAATAGACAAACAAGAGAGTGATTATACCGAGGTATCGTTGTCAGTCTCTGTTTTGTCTTCGTTTTCTATGAATGTACCTACAAAAAACAATAAGTTTCTATAATCATCTTATTAAAATTATTTATATTTGATATTTAACTTAGCTAAGAAATTTCTTTATTTAAATTTAGAAGAGACTCCAATATGGGAAGAGATGCATATAAAAATATATAAGTGAAAAAAAAAATTTTTTATAGGAGTTTCTATTTAGTAGACAAATTTGTTCAATTTGTTAATTAATAAATCATTCATTATTATAATGACTCTGAACTATAATAAGTTATATACATAATGTTGTCTTTTGTTTAATAATTAATTTTTTATGTTTTATTAAATTCTAAAATAATCAAAAGATGTAAGATAAGAAGTTTATTTATTTATTATGTATATTTGATAATTTATTAATTTATTCACCTTTTTCTTTCTGATTCTGATTCACTTTCTTCGCTAACTGTTTTATCAGTTATTTCTTCCGTCGTTAATTCTTCTTCACTGTCTTCTTTGTATTTTCGATTCTTGCTGGAACTTTTACTAGAATCATCATTTCTAGATTTCATTTTAAAACTTTCCGTATACTTTTTGTTTCCTTTTATCGATAAATTTCTGTTAATTTTTCTTTTTTGTTTCTCATCATCACTGAAAATTTCAATTTCTTCACGTGACATTTTTTTTTTATTTCTTTGAGATTTCTCATGCTTTCCAGAATTTCTAGAACTAGAAGTAGAATATCCAGTATCTTGGCGTGTTTTTCTATAAAATTTTAAGATTTAAATAATAAATATACTTATTTTTAATTATTGAATTTTTATAGAAAAAATAATAGTTTGTACTTTTTTGAAGATCTAATATTCCTCGGAGAGGAATCAAATTTATCTGTTTCTTCTATTGTTTCTTCACTTTCTGTATAATTAGCTTCTATATCTTTGTCTTTTCTTTTTTTTCTTCGCTTTTCTTCGGATATTTTGCATTTCACATCTTTATAAATATTTTCCCTCGATATAATACTGATATTCGATATTTCAGATTTCTTCTTTCTTTTGCTCCTATTTTCCGTCTGAACTACATACAGTCGATAAAGTTGCAAGAGAATCACTAGAGTATTCTTGCACGTGAAGAAAATATTCATATAGCTGACTATGCGATAATGGATAATTAAAATCAACCTAAATGCAAGAAATGGTCCATCCTGTAATATTTTTTAAAAAATATTTTAAAATAATCTTTTAAAAATTATTTAAATAGATATAATCAATATATGATATAATTAATTTTTAATTGCATAATATATTATTCATAACTACAATTTTCATAAGATTTATTCTCATTAAATTTACAAAAATAAAATAATATATTTAACATAAATAATTAACATAAATATTTAACATAACATATATTTAATAATTTACTTAAATCTAAATTTTTAAATTAAAGTTAAATTAAAATAAAATGAAAAACAAAATTATCATAATAAATTTCGAAATTCTAATTTTACCATATAATTTTTTTTGTTTAATGATTTAGAAAATTTGTATAAATAAACAGACCTGTAAAATCATATTTAAAGTAATTCCCCAAACATCTATGCTACAACAACTAGTTTCAGTGTGTATTCTTCTTTTAACAGCATTTCCGGATGACAATCTAGACTTCCGGGATTTAGTAGCTGTTAGAACGACCGTGAATTGCATCAAGGACCACGCCCAAATCCCCAAAGTTAAATAAACTAGGACAGGTTCACGAGCTATGCGATCTTCCTTGAAGGAATCAAAGAATTCAATTATGTCTGCCGCTGTTCCAATATACACTAACAATAATTGACTCAATTGATCCCTGGTTAAATCTCCTTTTGGTAACATCCATCTTCCAATGATTAAAATTAACATTAAAAATTGTTCAATTAGAGTTACCCAAGTTTCTTTTGATATTTTTATGTTAGGTAAATGTATGTTCACCTAAATAACATATTAAAATATTTTTAATTCCTTTTTTTTATAACATTGTTGTCCGAATTTATATTTTGATTGTAAAACGAAATATAAATTGAACTTACACCTAATGCTTTTTCTAAATGTTTTAAATCTTTAGCAGCCAGATTTGTTAAATCCAAGTTCTCGGATTTATTCACATTCGTTTCGAATGTTTTTAATCTTCTGTCAACCTTATCTAGTTCTAAAAGCCATATTGCAGGAACAACACTGCTTAGATATAAGAAAACTGAAGGACAAAACCTTTAAAATAAAAAAATTTCTTTAATATTAAATTTATTTAATTATTAAAATATTTTTTATTCGATTGAATATATAACATAAAAAAAAAAGATAAATAATAAATTATTTATAATATAATATAATATAAAGAATATTAATTAAAATTATACAATGTTTTTATATGTATTAATAGTCTAGAATATTTATAATTAAAATATCTTTGTGCTCTATTTCATTTGTTTGTAATTTATATTGATCATTTTTAAAAATAGTAAAAAATATAATTTTTATTGAACATAAGTTCGATCAATCATATAATACAACTAAAAAAGAGGTCACTATTACATGGCTCTTTTTATATATCGATAATTTTTGATGTATAGTGGATTGTGTCTCATTTCACTCTTGTTACTAATGCTCCAATTTCCGACTGTCAAATTGAGACGGACCCATAAAAACACACCTTTTCCTTCCAAGAGAAAATTAGGTTGGTTTTATTCCATAGACTATTATATACTAAAAAAATTGCATGTAAATGCATCTTATACATTTATTTTAATAACTTTTTTCTATTTTTATTTATAATTCAAAATTATATATATAATAAAAATAATATATATATATATTTAAGTATTTATAGAAATATAAAAATGATTTTTAACCATAAAAGTAATAATTCTATTTAATTACAATTGAAATAAAATTTATTTTCGATTTAATTATTTTTAATAAAGATTATTATTATCATTTAAAAACTATGTTATATATTTATATATATATATAAATAATTATCGAAATATTATATTAACTACATATTAATAAATAAATTTTTATTACTTACCATTTCCATTCTTGATTTTCTTTTATAGTAAGTGTAAAAATTCCTTCAAAAAACAATAATAGAATTGGGCAACTCAAATACCAAAATAAAGAATTCTTTTTAAATGTAGTTACTTGCCAAATTGCAATAAAACCATGAGATGCAAAAACTAATCGAGTAATAATTGCTTTGATTGTAGCTAAAAATTTTGCCATTATCACAAATCATTCAGTTACTTGATCAACATTTATTTTTTACCTAATAAGTTTTTCACGAATTTTTTAATGTTCAATTTAAAAACTTTTTCTTGAAAACTATATTTTTGAATTCTTTTTTAGAGTAAGAAATTAAAAAATATTATTTTAGAATATATTTTGGAATATTATTTTGGATCTTGTTTAACTTAAGCTCACTGTATCAGAACTAAAATAAAAGTATAAAGGTTCCAGAGGGTTTGGATTTCAAATAGTCTTGCGCATGCGTTGTCGAAATAGTATTATAAGGAGCATATATTTATTTAAAAAAAAATTAATAATATCGCTAAATCAATCATAGAGAAAATATTTTAAAAGTTTTAAAGTTAGTCATTACTTTTAAAGCTAAAAATCTAATATCTATGGATAAATTTTATATTAAAGATCAAGATATTGTAATTTTTTGAAAAAGATATGGTGAAAATATATTGAATTAATATTTTCTATCTCATGTATGATCACTTGCTAAGAACAATAGACAAGAATAGAAGAAGAACAAATAGAAAGAAAGGAACAGAGATAAAGTAAAAGTTTGAGAATCAGTGCTATCTTTTGAGTGTCGTTAATGAAACTAATAAATAAATATATTAAGTAAAAAATATCAATTAAATAATAAAAATACCAATCAATTCTTGAATGCTACAGCATATAAGAAAACTAGATATAAATTCTTATACTTAGTGCATAACTTCGTTAAGAAGTATAAGAATTATTTCATCTACGATAATAAGTGTAGGAATTATATTAAATTCAACTACAAAAGTTAATAAACAGATTTTAAAAATAATTTCTTTAACATCTTTATTTAATATCATCTTTTCATAAATATATATATTAGATGAATTTATATCTTTGAAATCTTTTAATTATTATTAATAGTAAATAAAGAAACAAAAATAAAAAGTAACTATAACAAGTAAATATGCAAAAATAAATATTTCACAGATAAATATATATATTACAAAAATTTTTGTTGCGAAATTGCAGGAAAAATTTCACGTGTAACCTGGTATTGAATTATTTTCCTA